AGGTTTTACAGATACATAGTAATAGAAAAAAGAACAGTGAAACTCTGAAATCCTCTGTTCAGTTTTTATGCTTTGCCCACACTTCCGTGCAACCATTCCGGCCAGTCCTAATTTCAACTTTTTCCTGCCTCTTATTCCTTTCCCATTCCTATGTTCCTTTCCCAGTCTATGTCCCTATTTTTCAGGCCTGCCACCCTGCCTCTAAATTTCAATCTTAATCTAATTTTAAACCAGACCTAGTCCCTCAACTAGAGTTTGCCACTTGAATCCCAAACTCAGGCTCTACGTTCCACCATACTCAGCTTTCTTGACCACTTCTCACAGCCCTCCCTGCCCCATTCAACTCTTTGCTGGCTTTCAATCTTACTTTAACTCTCTGGGAATTTTTATCCAAATTCAGTCTCCCTCCTCAACTCCTTCTCCCAGTCTATAATTCCAAGCTTTTCCCTATTCTTTTTTTGCAGACAGCTGCCTGTTCCCTCCGAAGCCTTTAGCAGCTAACCCAATTTCTCATTCTCAGCCTCTTCCCCACTCCCTACCTCCTGGCCCCGCTGTTCTCTTGCAGCGTCAGCCTCCCTTCCCCATGCTAGTGTCAACAAAGTAGGCTGTACAATCTCCTATCTGTCTTTGCAATGCATGAAGACTACAGCTCTCTTCAGAATTCTCTTAAGGACTTAGTAGGAAATTAAGAAAATAAGTTTGCCAGACTGCTGACTGGTAGGCATAGCTAAGTCAGGTTGGACTTGTAAGCTATTTTTCTCTCTTGTGGTTGGTTGTAGCTTTCTAACCCTGGGATAGTACCAATATTTTTTCTCAATATTTGTTAAGCTCTCTAACCCTTTCTCATCTGTGAGAACTCAACAATCACAGAGTAAATTTAAGAACACAGAAAAGCTTACGAAATATCATCAATGAATAGAATAATGTTCGCAAAAGTATAGCAGTACAAGTCTTAAGAAAAGATGCTGTTATACATCCCTTGTGCACTTATATTCTGTGTTTACCTTGTAACAACATTGTCAACATAAAGACATATGCCATCAGAAGTCTACAGTGGTAGTAATAACTGAGTACATTGACAATATTTTCAGTGAAAATTAAACATAAAACATCCCTCCCCTCATGTCACAGTTAAAGGATTAAGTACAAATAGACAGAGCTAGAATGTACTATGTTACAGGTAAGACAAGCTCCAAGCTTAACGGTTGGACTTGATGATCTTAAAGGTCTTTTCCATAGATTCTATGATTCTATAGCAACGTCAACCGAGAAATATTGTACTTTCAAATATGAGCTGCAACAAGCAACATTGTGATCCAGATCATCATGCTTTATTGTATTCACTTACAAATGGTCAAATAGTTGTCTTTGTGGGAGCAGAATATATAAAGCTTATGGAGGCTTTAAATACCACTGCTTTGAATTTTGTTATTATTCTGGCATTTGTCAAAAGTAAAAGGTCTTTATTTGGCATACTGGAGTTGTGTAGGAGCAGTCACTATGCAGGACTGCTTTAATGCCCCCTAAAACCTAAGACAGTGCAGTTCCCATCAAAAAAGACAGATCTGCAACCTTCTAAATTTTACCAGAAGGGCTGGCTTCTTCAAATGGTTCAGCTAGCTAAAGCTTCGCCAGGACACCACATGCTCTCCTGCCACTGACATTCTTGTCTCTCTCCTCTTATCCACTACCAGTCCTCCTCTGCTGGCGAGGGAAACATAAAAGCAGTCCCCACCTCTCACTGAGCAGAAGATATTCTGCTGTCCAAACCAACAGAAAGGAGACATATCAAAACCAGAATTGCACGTCAATTATAAGTGTTACAGTTATTTTTAATACTAATTTTATTGAACTTTCCATTATCTCTACTAACCTCTTTAAAACTCAAAAATAATTTGTTTCCCCCTACTGATTTTGTCATTTCCATTTGACAAGAATTGATTCCCTTGCACCCCCCTGTTTCAGATCCAGCTAAAATTAATACATTTTTAATTTCCTTCCTTTGAGCCCTAGCAAGATCAAAGATCATAACAGAGCTCTGGGAATCTTGCAAAATTTGTCAGTTAGCAGCCTGATAGCAGAATGAGTGTATTCTGAATTTTATTGTTTATTTTTTTCCAATACAAAGGAGTGGATGTATAAATGGGTGAAAATAAGAGAGATTTGTGAGAGCTTTATAAACAGAAGTTAACACAAATCTTCACCTAATTCAAGACACTCTAAATCATTTAGTTCCACTCTCCACTGCACTAAAATGGAGCTGTAGTGTATTATTATTTAAAATTCTATATATTTTCTCACAATGAGAGAGAAATCCACTCATCTCTTCACAAAGCCATGTTGTACAATGGCTTGGAAGCAAGCTTACCCTATCTGATGAAGACAAATAAGATTCATTCATTATATTCTTCTCTCCTTACTGAATGCATAGTTCCATGAAATGAATGAACCAATATTTTCAAAAGCCGCACAGAGATTCTTCCACTTTGTGAAAAAATTTCACTGTTTGGAAAATTTTCCTGATGAAAATATCCAGGATGACAGGCAAAAGTGGTATGCCTAAACGTTAGATTTTACTGTCATACTTATATGCAGCTGGAAACTGAAGGAATCACAAATGAATAGGATCCAGAGTACTTAAATAATTTTGGAACTTTATTTTAGTATTGAAATGCCAGTCTGCTCTGTCATAGCACAGCTAATTCAAAAAACATTAATGTGCTTTTTCATGCAGCACTACCTTGTTTATTTATCAGTTTAGATGTTGTTTGGGATAATTTCTATTGTCTATGCTTCCATAGATACAAAATGCTTTGTCCGTAAACTACATCTACTGAAAATGGAAATGTCCTTCTTGTAAGACATAAGTAAAGAATGCCATGTTTTTCAATCAACCCTTGAAAACACTTTTATCTAACCTGGCACATCAAAGACAGAAAATGTATGACTAGTAAACATTTATCATGGATAACTAATTTGTTTTGCATTAAGAAAACTGTTGTCTTTTATGATTCATGCTTGTGTTCTGGAGTGGGATACCCAAATAAAGCAAACCAAGATATTCTGTGGAACAGCCATTCTTTAAAGTTTACAGAACAAAATACGTTATTTACTTAATTCCAGAATATTGAATAAAGTGCCCTAATAGCCTTGACGTTACCAGTATCACTCAGAGCGAAGCATCTCATTGGTCAGCATCCAGAATAAACAATTACAATTTGCACTTGTTGATGGGCCTGTTGAAGACCAGGCCTATGTAGAATTTGAGGATTATGTTTAATTAACAGACAGTGAAATTTAATATTGAGTAGCAACTTGAAGCTCTAAAATGAAATGTTTTCTAAAAAACAATAAAGCAAATACTTAGTGACAGTCCACTGAAGTACCCGTTCATTCCTGTTTGGAATAGTATGTATTGAAGAAATGATAAAATTCTCAGGATAATAAAGGTTATTAAGTAAAAGCTTTATGTGTTACACTGGCAGTATCTTGTGTAACTTCACTAATTTACGAAGATTTGTACCAATATAGCTGAAAACATATTTGCAATATAAAATTTCATTTTTCAAGAAGGTAAAATACTGGCTCAGCTTTGATTAAAAATCTTCAATACAGGAAGTGTACGATCCTTGGAAAATATATACTGGACTCTGGTAGCATGAAGTGATACATTACAGTGGGCTCTTTGCACAGGTGCAGAAAGGGTGGTCTCCACTTCCCTCCATCCAGAGTATCCCGTTTCTGGTACAGAAATTTCTTATAACTTTAGTTAGTTTTAAGGTATTTGTTATTTACTCTTCATTATCTTTTACATTGAATGATATTTGGGATTTAATTAACAAACATTTAAGCAAACCTGACAATACTGAATAGTAGAGGGAAGGACTAGGTGGTTGTGTTGTTAAGGTGCCAGAGTGCTAGGTCCAGTTCCAGCCACAGCACGTATTTCCTTAATAACCTGAGACATAATTCCTCTCAGAAACTGAGTTAACTCTCTGTCTATCTAAAGTCCAAACCTTTTTAGGGAAAGGTGGTGACAACAACTCTCTACATATTGCAACTGTAGAAAAAATAACATAGTACTAACAAAAGTAGTAATAATACAGCTCTTCCATGACCACACACAGAGGAAAACAAACAGTGGAATCTGACGAGGTTTTGGAATATTGTTCTACTTATTTTGGGTGTAAATGACAGCTACTTATTAAAATAAATCTATGCAGCTGCATATAAGAACTGCATTCGGTACTACTTCTCACTCTATAATAATATTAATTTTGTATTTCTGTTTCACGCATATTTCTCAATGTTTTTTCCATCAAAATGATTTCTGTTCACCAGTTTTCCCATTTTTAAATAAAACCATCTGGTTACAAGCACTTCATGTTGAAAAGAATCTCCACAGGAAAAATATCAAATAAACAATACATACATGAAGTGTTGTACTACTCCTAAGCTGAGCCTAATTGTTTACAGAAAATGTTCTGTACCAAAAACGCCAGAGATGACTACTGTCGTTCAATTCCGATCAATCTTAGGGTAAGCTTATGCAATTTCAGTCAAAATTAGAAACAGAAAGCTGTATAAACAGCACTTTCTCTTGCTTCCTCCTACCAATCCATGAGACACTTGTGTGTAATACCTGTATCCCAAACAGACATATACAGAAAACATTTCATAACAGCTGTGAATCTACCAGAAGGAGACCTCTGGATGCTGAAACAACATACTAAATAAGAGTGAGGATCCGAATTCACTTTGACAGTTTACGGCCATCTCCACTGTCCACCTCTCGTTATAAAGACTGAAGGGCTGATGCTCGACTCCAGCTCTCAGAGACTAAAAAGGAGACCAAGAAAGCCCCAACATCAAACCATTCAGGATCTTTGAATGTGACACGTGAACAGAGTCAGCACAAGTATGGCCATCCAGGAAAGGTAGCAAAACAGTTAGAAAATCATATTAACAGGGCAACGAGAAAAGAGTTTACTTCCCCTCACCTTTTTCTTCATTTTTACATTTTTGAAAATTGCATGAACTCTCCACGTTTTCGCAAACATTGCTCCAAATGCAGTTGTGTATCCCACTGTAAGAATCCATGTTCGGACCTAAAAATATATATATAAAAAAAGACAAAGCCGTTTAATTTGCAGTAGACAACGTGGATATCATCATTTCAGCCAACTTTTTTCTCAAGACCTTGAGAAAAAAATATTCAAAGAACCTCACAAAAATGTTGGCATTTCAGAATTGTCTCATTCATTGCTTTCTTGCTTTTTTCCTCCTCCCTCTATCCCCTCTCCAAGCATAACAAATCTGGATGCTGAATTAACAATCTCTTCCATATATAAAACCACAACTCTGTTACAATATTCTGCATTTTTTTTCACTTTTATTGTGTTCTGTGCAGGCAGAGGAAGGAACTAGTGGAGGAAAACAAGAGACTGAGACTATAAAAACTACCCGGGAGCTATTATTAACAGCAACATTTTGAACAGAAATGAACAGAGAAGTAGAGATGTTACTCAGACTAAATAAGAGGAAAATATACTATGTGAGGTATGCATCACTTAGTGCAGACCCTGAGCATTCTGGAAAGATAAGAAAAACTGACCTTAAAATTATCATATAGGGAAAAATGGCAAGACAGGAACATAGCCTTGGTGGGCAGGCCTCGGGGACAAGACCTGAATCAAAGATAATACCCACAATATGGGTCTAAGAAAAAGGAGATGGTGAGCTTACACAGAACAATGGAGTAATGGGACCCTGAGCTGGCCACAGCTTTGACATAGACCTATCTAGATATTTTCCTTATAGTGAGCTTCCCAGAGAAAAACAAAGGATTTTTAAACAAAAAAGACATGATGTCTTTAGAGTAAAAACTAGAATGACTTATTTTTTTAATAGAAAAACCTCAAATTGACCAGGGAGGACAGAATACAAGTTACAAAAGCTTTTTTGTACAATTTCCCACCTGCCCATAGCATCCTTGTAGGTAGGTCCTCACTTTCAGACTTCGTTTCAGCTAAGCCTGTGACTTTCAGAGTTTTAGCAAGCTCTGCACAGCCCCCACTAATTCCTTGGAAGTTCCTCTTTTCGTTACCCTGGAGGTCTGGCTGTTTGAAAATTTTTCTGCCCTGAACAGACTATTTTCTTCCCCAAAGAGGGACCAGAATCTACAGAGCATAGCAGGTGGAAGACCATGCAAGAGGCACAGCAGGGAGCTGGAAGCCTACAGCTGAATCTGAGAGCCCGAGAAACCACAAGGAGGAGGAACAATCTTCTCCTCCCTCTAGAGACTCCACCTGGGCCAGCTGTCAAAAAGGGAGACTGCACAAAAGCGAACAAGGAAGTAAAAATAAAATGCACTGTGCATTGCAGATGGAAAAACTGGGGGAGAGACAATGGCTAAAGACAGGGAAGGCAAAGCTAGAAAGGGGAAAACGAGCCTTCTTTTGGCCATGTGGACCATGCATCCTTGGCCAGTAGAGCTGTTTTTTGATATAAAAACAATCTGATTTGTGGAAACCAGGACATTCTGAGAAAGGATTTTGAAAAAAAATCTTTAGATGACCTAAAGGCAATGTTTTTCATTGGAAACCAGCCTGGTTTCACATCTGACTTCTAGAGAGTTTGGGATTTTTAATTTGTAACTTTAGGACATGCATATTGATGAGAAACTAGGTGCTGTAGTAAGATGCAAAACTTGGGATCTAAGATCAATATTAGGAATAATCTAAATGTTTCACTTCCAAATACGTTATCTAGTTTTTGCCTTTCCAAACATCTTCAGAATTTCCATTTTTGTATTCAAAACATGATTTTTTCCCCCAAAATTTTCTGTAGAATAGAAATCCTGATTTTCAGTAAGCATTAGTGACTGGGTATCAAGGCAGAAAAGAAAAAAAAAGATATGGCTCACTCAAAAAATATTGATAAAGCAATAAGAGACATAAAATTACTACAGTTCCTTAAAATAAATAAAGAAAGAAGATACGTATGGTCAATAATGGTGAATTAGTGAGAGAAAAGTACATACAGAACAGGCACCTTGGGTTTTGGCAAAGAGGAGTGTATGCAAATGGACACCCAAAACTGTCTGAGAGGGCATACACCCAAAACTGGTAATGCTGTGCACCATGCAGGGACACACACCTCAAGTGTGCAAGTGTGAACTCGGGGGGTGCTGCCTCACTGGCGTGGGCATTAGCAGGTTGCAGAGATACACGCAAAGGCAGAGCGCCCACATCTCCTACAGGATGGGTGTGTGTAGGGGAACCTGCACCCCCAGAAGAAAGGGTGCGCTGGCAACCCATGTGTCCTGTGAGCAGCAGGTGTCTGCATGTAACTCAGCGTGTGTGTTTGTTAGAAAACATCGGGATTATGTATAGAAGACTGTTTAGATATTTGTATGCATATATTAACATTTTATTAGCATCTAATGTGGTTTATCTGTGGCATTGCTGATATTGACTCTGAACATACAGTTCACACTGATTGCTGGTTAGTCTTGATATTAATAAAATTAGCAAACCGACTACGATTAGATTCAGATCACGTGAGCTATGTCACTTTGTGACTTTCTTGAATGTTGTATTGAAAAAGAAACACATAACCAAAAAAAAAAGGGGAATAGATATTTAGGTCAGCAAAGTAATATTTTTAACTCAAATATTTTTTCAAGTCTTTCCTCGTTATCCATTATCATACATTATGCTAATAACTTCAGTAAAACCACAGTTAGATCAACTCTGAGTGATTTAAAAAATATGTTTCATATCAACGTGTTCATATTGGACAGTTACATCTTTTTTTGACTTCACATCAATTGAGCTGTGATAACCATTCTTAGCATTCAATCTTTTTGCTGCTATTAATAAGTATTCAGCTCTTTTGTGTACAGTTTAGTGATATAGTTGGCAAACAGATACATGGTATTTTCATGTCTCTAATAAGACTCTGTTTTGTTCTCACTGAAAAAGTAATTGCCTCTTGGGAATAGTAATAAATTCAATTATGCTCATAATATGTTTCTAACTCGATATTCAGAAAAATGTTATTTTTATCATGTTTGGTTCAAAAAGTTTTATGTATTCCTGATCTGGATTATGCAAATTAGAATAATATAACTATTGGCTATATTGGAATCATTCTGGCTTAAAGATATCAGGAGATTTTGTCAAAATGAGATCGCTGGTGCTAAGAATGAGATTATAAGTTTCAGATGAAAATAAATTTTTAATTTTGAAGAAAATTACCTCAAATTTGTCTGCTATAATTCATTAATGCAGCCAGCAAAATGAAAAATTTAGAAAACAGCAAAAGCCTCTGAAATTCATATATCTGCCCATTTATATTCTTAAATGTATTATACCTCCAAATCCCACTCATTTGAAAGAACATGATAAAAATAACACCTATAATTGGAGAGCATGGCCATGATGTTACGCAATCGATCAGTAATTCTCTCATGTTGGCAGTTTTTAATGATGCGTTTCAACAGAAGAGGCTGGGGAAGATCGCCTCCCCCCCAGTACCCACCAAATGAGCAGGAAAGGCACCTCCTTAGAAGATGGGAAACTTGCATTCAAATCCCTACTCCAAACTAGACACAAAACCTGAAAACATTCCCATGCTCCTATAGAAGGATAATTCATAAAAATAGCTACTGTTTTTCTTTTTCTTAAAAGGTTAGTTCATTACAAAATTTCTCATGCCTTCACTGAATTTTAGGATATACCTTCAATTATCTGCTTATATTTCTTGGTTACTTCTTTTTTTGAATAAGATGTTTTGACTAATTGAGTATCTCCTGTAAATTTTTTGTTTTCTATCATTCAAAGACAACTCACAAGTGTCAAAGGAGATGATACTGTTTGGTATACAACAATCAAGTATGACTATGCAGACGCTAACATTCAGTTTCCTAGTTCTCTTTTCTTTATACTTCCTACATTCTTTTGGTTTAGGGCTTAGTTTTAAAAATACTATGTATGCACCCATGACTGGAATTTGTGGTTTTTATAAATTACTTGATAGAAGCTCTTACAGGTGCATTACTTGTGATAGCTGAAAAAGCTAGAAATCATTTATTTAGTGGACAACACAGTTGACAACCACCAAACACTGTCTCCACAAAGAAACAGACCATTCTGAGTCATTTTCCAGACTTGGAACAGATGTGATCTTTATTTAAAACAAACAAAAATCCACCTTTGTCAAATACTAATGGTTAAACAAATGTTGTAAGGTTCAGCTAAAGAGTCACTGCATTTATGGACAAGATGCTCCTTACATCTTGTAGGAGCGTTTCTTTTCAACTTCCCTTTACAACAAAAAGTCTGGTTTAAACCTATCCATAAAGTGCTAAAGATCTTTTATTTTTTTAAGTAAGGCTCTTCTTCCATCATATAATAAGCACTGACAGCTTAACAGCCTTATATAAAGTTACTTCCATTTGAATCCTATTTCCTCTCAACCTTGAGCTTTAGCTGGCTAGCCTACGTTTTGAATGCTGCTATTTGATATCTTCACACAAATCTATCTGCACCTTTCCCTTCACCTTGTTATGTGACTGGTGAAGTGGTTACTATTTATACATCTGTGTAACAGACCTACAAAGTTATTTGATATTACAACTCATTATTAATAAAAGAAGCCATCTAATTGTGAACAATGAGTTAGTAAGGGGAAATTAGTAAGTGGTGAAAGCATCAGAAACATCCTGAACAAAGAAGTAAAAGTCTCTCCTTGTTTATATACTTTAAGAATGAAGCTTACAAACAAAAACACTATTTTAGATACTGTTAACTTTCAGATAAACAATAAAACACTATTTTAGGTACTGTTAACTTTCAGATAAACAACACTATTATTTGAGTTTATTTTAATAAAATTACAATTCTATATAGAATTATAAAATAAGGTTATCTTGGAAAATGGATTGAATTGATGAAAGGCAAAAAGTTTCACTTTTAAAGAAGTTCCATTATTTTCCCATATTTGACCACCACTGCATATGCATTCAAAAGACCACCCAGTCATGAACTGACAAGGAATGCCTGGGAATGTATTGAGCTCACGAAAGCAATAATAAAAATTTCAA